AGTCCGCAAAAGTATTAAATACGTGATTATTCATGTTCGATAGATGCAAACTTCACCTTACAGTGTCATTTTTAAAGTTAAATCGAGTCGGACTGAAAAGAAACTAGCTACTTTATCATTATAAGCAGTCTCGATAGAAAAAAAGGTGACCCCTAGCCATTGGGACCTACGGTTCAGTGTAAGAAGATCCAAGCGGCGCGCAAGCCGTGACCTTCATCCCAATGCCTTGTGCAAAGCTGATCAGTTCATTATTCAGGAAGTATGGATGACTTTCCACCTGCAGAACCGCTGGTGGGATGGAACAACATCCAAGCACCCGTCGAATCTGGTCCTCATTGAAATTGGAAAGACCGATGGAACGCACAAGGCCCATTTGTACCAGTTGTTCCATGGCCTAAAATTTGGGGCTGACTGTCAGTATCATAGACTATTACCCCTAGATTTCCTTCCAACAGTACAAAGCGGGTTGTCACATTATGCCTACAGATAATGCTTGATCCATCAAGACGACTATGCTTAAATCCCAGGCGCAAAATATTGTCTTGGTGAATATGCAACTGCCTAGTGCTTTTCGGTACAATCGTTTGTAAAAAACGGGCCTGCTCAGCATCCGTCCTCCTCACTTATCTTACATGTTCAGCTATTAAGGTAAAGTCGAGACTATCGGATATGAGCTCAGAAACAGTTCATCTATGCGTGCCACCCTTGACCAGAAAACATAAGTTTCTCGAAAACAAGAAAAAAACGATCCTCCGATGTCATCACTCACCTCCCATGTTTCCTCAATAGGCACGGAATCGTACTCGGGCTCACCGTTGGGTTGACGAACTCCTGACTGAAAAGTTATATTTTTCATTGAGTATTTGTTATTTAGTGTGTTACTTTCAGAGACACCGGCCAGTTGATCATATATAGGTCCAGGTATTCTAAGTTAAGGGCTCGAAGTGAGCGAATACAGTTTTCTCGCACAAGTAGTTTCTTGTGGAAAGTGCACCAAAGCTAGAGCAGAATTCTCGGTCAGGAAGCATGCAAACCTTTGAGGTGACAAAGAGTTTACGACGCGGAAAGCCCTCAGTCACGATTTGGTTCTTCAAGGCCACACCAACAGCAAACTCGTTGCCGTGCGAAAATGCGCAATCAATGTGCCGATATCCCGCATTGATGGCCATTGTGACCGCCTTAGAGACCTCGGTTGCTGAAGCCTGGAGCACATAAAGAAAATCGACTCATTATTTGAACAGCTGTTTATTTTACTTTATGAAAATATATCGTGCCGCAGAACAAAATTAAATAAACTCACGGAAAAGTGCAACAAATAAGTACGTTATCTTTTCGGACTCAAATGACTAACTTTTGCCTTACGTGAATTACATTCCGTCAAAATAAATTATCTTTGTATGCAGAATCCAAAAGAACGCCCTAAACCTGCTAATAAAAATTTCGAATCCAAAATGTATGAAATATTTGTATATTTTTTAAAATTTCACTATTTGTTTAGATACACGGTTGAGGCTGAAAACC